TAGGCGGAGTAAAAAGGGACAGGGGGCAAATAGTTCCAATTGCTTATTTTTAATTTTAATAGGATTTTACAAAATTATTTCGATGAGGAATGCAAACTTAATTGGGTACGTTTTTTATCACATTGTATATATAAAATCACACTGTATTTAAACTTGATCTGTTTCATTTATCATCAGAGTTGGAATAATTATCAATTTAATTTATTTCTTCTAAAATTGCTTTTCTAACTCAATTCACTTTTTTGTTCACTATATTCTTATTGTTTACACCTTCGTCAGTGTACCATATAAGTTTAGTTGGTCTTTTTTTTATTCCAACTACATGTAAGGTTATATTCAAACTTATACTCAAAAATATATCCACGTATCACAAACTGAATAAAAGAGATTAAAACCAAAACTAGTGAGTGTATGGCATCGTGCCTTAAGGCAAATTGCTGGAATCGAGGAATATTTAATGTTTCAAAATAGATTATTATAAATATTGTAACATTGTCTAATATTTATAAGAATTATATATAAACTGAATTGCAAAGTTAAAATTATTTGTTAAAGTATATTAGAACAGAATTAAAATAAAAATCTGAAATGTTTTCGATATACAAAAAAAAAATTTGAAAAAAAAATTTTAAAAAAATTTTTAGAAGCAAATTTTTTTTCCAAAATCAATTATTTTGTTAAAATAAGCAGAAAGTTTTTAGAATCATTCAAATCGGACGCTTAGTTCTCTCAAAAACTGCCATTTTTTGCACATTTAGCTCTGTATCTCCGAAACCGCTAGACTCGATTTTTATTTTCTGCACTTTTTGCTCCGTATCTCCTAGACGGCTGGACCTGCTTTTGCCAAAAACTAATCAGCTCTTTTCCCTATCGATAGGAATCGCATGTTTTTTGAACCATTCAAATCGGTTGATCCGTGCGTCGGAAAACGTGGACGAAAAATTGTATTCATACATACATACACACTCACACACACACACACGCATCCTTTTTTTCTGAAGTGTGCCAAAATATTCAGAAACCTTCAAAACGTCGAGAAATGTAAAAATTTTCAATTTCGATTTTCGACCCATTACAATAACTTACCCTACGGGAAGTTAAAAACTATCAATGAAAAAACAATACTTTTGTTATGTATAATAAGGCTATAGCTGATTATACATGTTTTGCCTACTATTTCAAAATAGTATCGTTAAACAATACCATACTTCTTTTTGAGGTAATGGTAGTGGACGTTTTTACCATTAAGCTCCGCTTTACCTTGTTATTTATAAACTAAATTGAAAGTCCTCCAATGCCTTCTGATAGATAAACTTATGGTATTAATTATATACTTTATTAACTTCCGATTGACTACATATTCATATCATGTAGAAAAGGAAGTGATTTTATATATCTTTACTAATAAAATAATTATATTGCGATCGATGAGAAATGCTATCTAATATGTGAGTTGAATTTCGGTAAACAAATTGTAATGGTGTCTCTCGATCATCGCGAGTAAAAGATCATAATTGGTGCAAAATGCTATTTAATATTTGATAATGAGTGAACTAAATTTCAATAAACTAATTGCGATGGTATCTCTCGAGTGAAGACTAAAGACTCTTTGGTGTTTGCATCGAGTACGAGTACGAGTACATCACATAATTGCATGTAACTCTTAACTCATACGCAATACGCATTCGAGAGCACATTGATGCCGCTCTTCTCTCGATCCTCGGTCCTCGGTCCTCGGTCCTCGTACGTCGTGCGACCGTGCGAGTGCGAGTGCGAGTGTGGCCGCGCCGATCCAGAGACGATATATAAGCGGCTGTCAAGCGCGCCGCGCCAGAGACAGCGCTAAAGTCGGCCAAGGTAGGCGTAGGCGAACGCGAACGCGAACGCAAACGCTTCCCATAACGAAAGTGACAGATTCCGCGTTCTTTATTCACATTTATATTTGCCGATCGCGATCGCGATCACGATCACGATCACTAATCCGAATCGATTAGTAAACAAGTTTATTTATTATTTATCTGTGCCACACCAGGAATCCTACGTCCGTTCA